ATAAGAGCTCGTTCACTAGAATTGGTAACCAAGCGAGAAGATCTAATCCGATTTTGATCCAAATAAAAAAAAATAAATAAATAAAAAACCTGTACCACTACAACCCACGAAGGGTCTTGGATTCAGTACTATTTAGGGAATGTACTGTTTCAAGGCCTACGTAAAATGAAGTAGATAGAATGATAACAGTAACAGAGAACTAAGAAATAAATAATTATAACGGTAAAAAGCAAGGACTAATGAAATAAGCATAATAAAATATAAAAATATTCTCATGTTACCTTATATTTTATTATCACCCCAGCCATCCTTCTTTTCAACATTTACTGCAGTTTAATAACTCTAGATCTTATATTATATTTAAATAATTAGGTATCTAAAGGCCGTTTATTCCGAAAAATCAAGTGCACGTTTTAGAAAATTAAATTAGTGAATAATTTGATGAATTTTTCCTTTGTGATATCTCAACATTATCAACTTACACCTTTTGACCTATCTACGACAGGCAATGAAAATCTCGTAATTTCATTTAAGTAAATTTTACAATGGAAAATAACAGTTTCATAACTTGTAATCCTACAATCCATAATCATTTATAGGAATCCATCATCATACATGAGCCTTTCAGTTGATACAATGACTAACTCCAATTTCAAAATTATTTATTATTAATTTTAGTGATGTTTCTAGTGAGAAATTTACACCTTTATTCACAGTTCTATATTTCAACACTGCAAGCACCTACTCTGGAATCAACTTATTTACTGTATGTATAGGTATAACTTATCCAACAAGAAATATCACTAAAATGACGATTGAAAAATGTTGAAATTAGAGTTAGTCATTCTGTCATCTGAAAGGTTCAGAGATTGAAGTTATGTGGTTTATAAAAGCAGATGGAATTACTAGATTTTCATTGTCTACCGTCGATATAATAAATAGACTTTTTATTATTTTAATGGTCTTAATGTTTTGTTATCTTTAAGCTTTAATTCCGTTTGAGATGCACTTCAAAAATTTTATAACAGCCCAGCATTGCTAGAAAATAATTTCTATTCAAAGTAGAGCGGTAAGTGAAAGTTGTGTGATGGGCGGACCAGATTTTTTATGTATGCTTTCTCACAGATGTATTCCCTTCTGCCGTGCTCCCTTTTCCTGAAGGATCTTCTTCCCTTATGTCCTGAAAACGCCAAATCTCTCTATTTTTCTTTCTCCACCTCCTTTTTATTACCGTATCTAGATCATTGAATTTTATTTTATTTCTGATTTTTTAAATTTATACGGCTCTCAAGCCCACATTTTGGTAATTATATGATTATTCCTGATAAATTACTATTTTATGAGGTAATGGTATATAGGTAAGTATATGTATATATATATATATATATATATATATATATATATATATATATATTATGTTGAGTGAGTTTATGAGAATCCAGGTATTGCAGGACAGGGAGGAGTGAGATAGCTGATAGAGGACAGAGGACGTAAACACAGAGGGCAGGAGGATCGATAGAGTTGGTCAAGGCCCTTTTTTTCTCTCTTTCTCCCTCTCACTCTTCCCCGACTCCTCCCCACCTCCTCCGCTTCCTCCCTGCCTCCTCCCCAGTAATTATCCGATCCGCAAACATTTCCCTCCTCCCTCCCCCCTGGCTACCCCTACTGGCAGTTCGCAAGACATAGGCCGCCCCACTTACTGGCGGTCCCGAGGCGGTGTTCGATAGTCGGGCACCGACCCGCTCAACCTATTTATAGCGACGCGTCCGGTAATCAGCTGCTTCATTGAAGGCGGCTGATAAGTTATCTTCTTTCTACTTTTCGGCTGACTTTAAAAATCGTTAATTGTTACTTTTAATGAAACAATTTAAAATATGCAGAGTGTTTAAAGTATTTTCTCGATTTTTAAAAATCTAAATATAAAAATAAGTACTTCCATCTTGATAACTCTCGATAGCAGGACAGAAATCTTCGTGACAAAAGTTTGTTATTAAATATCATAAGCTTCTCCTTAAAGTTTGAAATGGTCCTATTCATCCACACCAATGTTGTGAATAATCCTGTATGATTATAAGGGATCCTACATCCTCATTCGGAATTGCATTCTGAGGCACTAATGGCGATCCACATGATCGTGCCAGGTAGTCAATGAAGTACTGATGGAGGTGTCTGGCGGATTTTCGAACATCCGGAAATCAAAGGTTCATTCACAGGAAGTGGAGGGGAGACTGAGGTAGGTAACAAATAGTGGGCAACAAATTAAAAAAAAAGTGGAAACTTCACAATGTACTTAAAGAAAAAAATTAATCTTTAACTGTTGTGTATATATGTCAGTTCTTTTCCCATTTTTTTTCAACAAATTTATTATTTTCTCAATACATTTCCTTAATTATTCTAAGTAGTAGACTTATATTTTACTAACTTTTGTCAAACCGATTTTCTATGAAACTAACCTTACTACTAGATAGGTTAGTTTACCTAGGCCTCAAAAACATTTTACATTTCTGATTTTTAAGTAAATAATTTCATAAAAGTCAATAGTTTTTTATATCGCTAGTTTATATTTGTATAAACCATTTTCAACTATTTTTTCTTTAAATAGTCAAGTGGTCAATAAATTTTTAAAAAAAGTGGAAACTTTACAATTTATTTATAGAAAAGAATCTTTAAGTGTTGTGTTTATTTGTCATTAATTTTTTTCCATTTTTCTTAACAAATTGATTACTTTTGCTATACTTAAACTGAGTTTTTGTAAGTAGTTGACTTATATTTTCCTAACTTTGGTCTGGTACTAGGAAGTAATTATTATATCTCCATTTTTCTCTTGATGTTCAATACTATAAAGGACAATATCCAAATAAGCTTATCTATGCTGTTTCTTTATTTACAACTGAGCTAAAATGGCGTCAGCAATGATAAGTAATGTTTGAACGTGTAGGAGTCTTCATGATCAAAGCAATCCCGAGCAATCTTTGTCATTCTTGTGACTTTCATTCACGAATGATCGTGTAAGAGTCGCTTATGGCGTTGTAAGAGCATAAAATCTCACACAATTGTGTTAACAAATGCATAATAATAAACTTCTATTATTATGTAGCTAGGTAATATTATATAGGTAATATTCCTTTGTCTACAATTACTTCCTGTTTAGCGGCTTCTAGATATTACTAAAGCCATGACGTGTGGTAGCATTTAAAGCGCAGTTGTGCAAGTTACTCTGTGGGACTCTAGATCTGAACTTGTACATTTTTTTTTCTTCTGAAATGTCTAATATCTATGTTCACAAAAGTGTAACGAAAATTTAAAACAAAACAACGAAAGATTAATATATAATCCATAATAATAAAATGAATTCGTAGTATACTAATAATTGAACTGTGCTATTATAAATATAATTGATGTTCTCAGGATATGAGGTTCGCTGGTTTTCTGCTCTCCTTTGTTGAGAAACTTATCAATCAAAATACTTGCATCAAATCCGTCCGCGTCCGTTATAGAGAGTGTCCGGTGTGCGAAAGACCTTAATACTATTACATTATTTAAAACTTGATGGGGTTTACAGAGAAATGTCTGCTGAGAGAAGCTTCACTGTATAATATTGAGATCGAACGACGCCAATGAATTATATATTGAAAAGTTAATCGTATTAATAAACAAGATGATCCGGATGAAAACCAAGATGGATGTTGAATGATACACTTTTCAGCCTAAATTTAAAGCCCTCTCCAGGACTACTGACACAAAGTCAGAAGGATCACGCAGTCTTGAGTACATAGTCGTAATTTTGAGTTTAATGTTCAAAATATATGGCGACAAGAAAATTTTAACAATAAAATGTTACATCCACGACTTTTGATTCCCATTTTTTAATTCATAATTACCTCACTTGGTTGTTGGATATTCGAAGGTATGTTCATAATTTACAATTATCATGTAAATTGTTTTATAAAATGCGACTATATCCGTTACAGAAGTTCAAAATAGAAAACAAAATGCTTCCTTTCTTTTCTATTTATATCTTATTAAAAGACTCTTCATTATTAATGCAATTTTAAAATTGTATCCATAAAATTCACATTTTATTAAGAATGCGGAAGCAGAGTAGTATGGAAAATAAATTGTAAATAAATAGAAAATATATCATCAGTTTATAAAGCACGGGATATTGTCTTTTCCATTTTATGGTTTAGCGAGATTTCAAGAATCAATTGACAATTGATTGCGATTGCGGACAGACGAATAGATATTAATCCTATTAGAGTGTGTATCGGATAAGGTCTTGTAATGTCCTGTTATTTAAGTATTATTTATAGATACCTCAGAAGTCTACCCAAGAAGCGCGATCAGGTTTCTACTACTTTTTCCTCAAAACTGAGTGCAGGCAAAGAGATTGGACATCAAGTATCTGCCTATTTTATTCAGTCGATTTTCATTAATTCAAATAAAAGTAGTTTCATGTTTTTCTGATATGATAGTTCCTAATAAGGAAAGGAACGGGATAAAAGCTTTAAGCTTGGAACGTAAAATCTGTATTCTGAGAGCTACTATAATTGACTATGAGTTATTACCATCCATAATTGAAAATATATATGAAAAAAATAGAATATCAATTCCCGAGACAAGAATACCCTAGGAAGGTGTGAAAGAAAGGAGATTAGAACAGACGGGAACGGATATGAAAAGCAAGAATAATGGCGGCGCAAGACACTTGGAGCAGGAGGTACTAAATCCCATTTATGGATCTTCTGACATTAATAGAAAAAAAAAGTTAAATTACCCCATGGCGAAAGGTTTTATAGCATGAAGAATAATAAAAATAAAAACTAGCTACGATATAAAAGCTGAGCTAATATTAAAAATCGAAATGCGGCCCGAATCACACAGCCTCCGAGAGGTAATAAAAAAAAAGAAAAAGGAAAAAAAAAAGATCGTTTGAGGGAAGTGGCATGATGGCTGTAGCCCCTGATAGGAGAGCTCACTTCCGCCAGCCGGCACAAAAACTATAATTGCTTCTTCTTTTTACCGTTCTCCATTAATCGAAAAGACTCCGCCATCAGCATCAAGGGAGAGCTTGGAAAATATACAAGGATATTAACGCCAGTCGACAGTCGCCGTTTAGGAGCAGGGCTTGAAAACAGGATGCGTTTATCGTAAAGGGGTCCTCCATCAAAGAAAATGATCCAAACATGATTGATAGGCATCTCTTGGAGGTGCAAAACTAATCAGATAGAATATCACAAATCAACGGAAGACAACAGCGCATCCATCAGGGCGTGCCAAACGTCAGATATGTTTAAGCAGCAAACAAATTACCGATAATAATAATAACACATACCAAGCGGACTCTATGAGGTAAATCAGGAATAATAAAGACTGAGCAGAATGACTTCAATCACGAAGGTCTATCAGTCAGAGGTGATCTGGTCCATTGTCTATGAATATAAGATTTATTTTAAAAATGTGTTTGTTTGTATATTTTCCTTTATATCACTGGACAACAAGAGAAACGTGAAAATGTAATAATTACATCTTGATAGTAGAAAAGTTGTTTGATAAAAGTTAAAAAATACCTCTGTTGAAAGGAAAAAAAAAGTAATATCATATATAATAATTAAAGATTACATTTTTGATATGTAAAAAGTTTTCCATTTTGTTTTTATTTGATTGCCCATTGTACTACAAAAAACAAAACAAAATAATAATTTTTTTATTTTAAGATGATTTATAGACATACATGATTATGAAAAAGTGTTTGTTTTAAATGAAAATTAGAAATATACATTGGTTGTGATACCTAGATAAACTAACCGGCCATGTAAGGTTGGTCTCCCCTCCACTTTTCATGATTGAAGCTCAGTCAGTATCATCCATCAGTACATCAATCTTATACTTATACGATCGATCGGAATAGCAATCATCACTCAATCATACCGAAGGGAACTATTATAATGTACATTTCCAAAATTTTAAGTAATTGTTGTTTTCTAAAAATATATTTGAGATAGTTTTTTTTTTACAATTTTTTTTGTGATTTATTTAAGTACACTTAAACATTTAAGAACATATTTATGATTTTCCATTGTAATCATCGTTGCAGTCTCAGTAAGAACATAAAAATTAATCCAATCTAAAATCCTTATTAATCCATAGTCACTTGAGACATAGAAGTAAATACAAAGCGTTTGAACTGATCGGATTAGTACTTCTTTTTTTTATTAAACTACTTAAATTTTTCTATATTAATGGAAGTAACATGTACAGAGATGAAAACGATCTAATGTTTTAAACCATGTTCACGATAATGGACAGCTTTCAGTGTTTAATTATTTCCTACCATTCTAAAAGAGATAGAGTTTTTCCTGAATAATTGAACTTGTCGATTATACGTGACAATTCATGTTATTCACTAATTTATCTCAAGTGTAAATACAATTTAAACATCTATCTGGACTTAAAATATAATTTATAATAAATAAACATATATTCTATATTTAGAGTTTTTTAAATTTTATTTTATCTTATGCGCCACGAAAAACTATGCGTGGTACCTCAGTTTCTACTAACAATTAGTCCTAAATGCTTGAAACATACATATTAAAATGACATCATGATCTAATCCACTCCCATATCTTCTGGGTTTAACAAAAATAAAGATCCAATCTAAAACTCATCGATAAATTATGAACGCGCCATGATATATTTTAAATCAGACTATCAAAAACAACTTAAATATTTCCAACAGTATAACCTAACATCTACGAAAATTTCACTACCTTTAATTTTGGTTTATTATTTTCAATACTGAACCATTTTGATCGAACAAACAATTCAAAAACTTAACCCTCTCTCAAAATTTGAGGTTTCACGTTTCAGGATGCGTAGAATTCGAAAAACGAATAACATTTTTTTTCCGTCCGCCGTCCGCACATTTTCTCCGAAACTACTGGATCGATTTTTATCTAATTTGGATATATAATCAGAGGTCACCCGAGGATGATCCTCCTTCAACGCCATTATTATCCGCCTTTTACTTTCAAAATGGCGGCCGAAAACCCTGCGTTGCTATAGACTGTAGCGCCTAAACGAATGTACCGATTTCAATGAAACTTCGCTAAAGTCATTTTCTCTACGCCCTTTAAATATATCTATATAATATACCTCAACGAAAAGAAGCTGGAAAAAAGTTACGAGGGATGGTAAAATTAAATTCCGAATAACTCAAAAAGTTTACACTTTTTTGTATATTGTCTCCGTTTTTTTTATTTATTTTTTTTTTTAATGTTCTAGTCCAAATGTTTATTTGGTTTTTAAATTTTGAATGTGTTACTGAAGTGATGTTATTTTTTTTTTAGCATATAACTAATGATTAAAAAAAAAAGTTTAGTCCAATAATTGGAATCACCTTTTATTTATTTTTCTTTGTAACTTGGAAGGTAATGTTACTTTAGATGTATAATCGTTTGGAAATAATTTGCAGCGTTTTTAACTCAAATTCACCTCAATCCACTCGTTCTGTTAATTTAACCCTTCCCTTCCTGTTACTTGTTAGCAGATTTAAAAGAAAATGGACCAGAGATCTGCTGCTTCACCAATATCTAAATCAAGGTTACTATCGAGAAAATTCGCAATTACATCAAATATGCTAGATATTCAACTACGCAGTTACAAATAGTCTAAACAAATAAAATAAAGGTATTTCTCGTTGTGTATCGGTAAAGAAATAATTGAAATGCGTGAGATACCACATTACGAAAGGCCACCAACCTGATGGCCACACGAGATACCTCACAAGCCCTGACACGAGATACCACTCAGACAGCATAGATACGAGATTCTCCTAGAGAGGATGTTAAGTGCGCTAATAGAAGCCACTGGAGGATGGGACCAGATCATGTCAACAGGTCTCGCTCGGTAGCTATTGATCCAACCCCGCAAACCCGTCGCAAACTTAAGCTCCCCCGCTTATTCTGTCAACTCGTTATTGCTTCTTGTAACCGGTTACTTGTCACTGCTTCCAAATTGGAAGTTCCACTAACGGGTAAATTCCTGATGGTAATGGACGATCACTGGGGCTCCACTGGAAACTACCGATAGTCAAATCTACAATAGCTTAATCAATTATCACATATACGTAAGGATTCAACCTTTGACAATTTACGATATTTACGATTTTTAGTAATTCAATCACGAAGCTATTACTTATATTATATTTACTGCATACCATGCAATTCGTCCATTGCCTAAACTTCACATTAAACAAGAAATACGCAGTACTTGTATATCTACAGCGTTCGAAACACGCCCTGATGAAGACCCACACGTTTGGGTTGAAACGTCTGCACTCATAAAAACTTTATTAATGACTGCGTCCTGAATATTTATCACCCTTAAAAAAAGAAATACAGTTATTCATAAAAAATAATTGTATACTTACAGCAATATCACTTATAACAATTTCATCATACCATTGACATTAAACGTTACGATGTGAAGTTGGAATGCGCTTTCGACCGCCTGACCTCAATCTCACTGTATTATTTTACTTTACGCTTGTTTCCCAACAGACTAATCTTATCAAATTAATATAGATGATATATAACTTTCTATTTTATTTATTTTCTGAATTGTTTATTTATTTATTTTAACTTAAGAATCTCGGAGGGTGTTCCTCAAGGTTCAATACTTTCCTCTCTTACTTATATTGTATACACTAAAGGCATATCTATTAACAAAGAAACATTGACAGGCACTTAATCTGACGATACAACAATGCTTTAAAAACTTGAAAATTCTACTTCACATTTTTTTACCTGCATAACTAACAACCCACGGAGAATCTTGGGTTCAGTACAATGTGAGGAAATATTATTATAAGGCCAACGGTTGTGCAGGAAGGTGATCGGGCCGAGATCAAGCTAACCACCAGATTTCCCCCGTCATTAATTATTTAATTAAGAGTACCTACTTTAAAGAGGCTTGGTGTGCCCAAGGAGAGACTCTCGTGCCTATGGTCTACCCCACGGCTGATGATACTTCACATTACTTACTTAAATTACATCTGTTTACGATTGAACCTATCTTGTAATTTAAGGAACTTCACATTACTTCCTTAAATTATAAGATTGCTTCAAACGCTGGAAAATTCGACTATTTTGATAAATCCGAACATACAACATTCACTCTTACCGTTAGATGGATCGTTAGATAATTTGATTACAAAATCGAGAAAAAAGGTGGCCTACAAAACATAGTTATTTTGAAATTTTGGAAGAGTAGGTCACGCCAAACGGCTCAATATTTTTGAAGGCACGCCTTTTTTCTCGATTTTGCACTCAAGTTATCTTACGATTCAATTGGAAACCAGATGGATATTTACGAGCTTTTATTACCTAATTAAATAGACAAAGTTTGCTAGTCCCCATACTGAAAACGTCCCAGTACCGAGAATTTTCGTAAATAAAATAGTTGTAGGTTACAACGAGAAGAACCTATTTACGAAATTTCAGTCGGATGTTAATAATTCGATAAAAACAAGTTTCTACCACGGACTGTACAGTTGACAGATCCAAATAAATATTAATGGAACCGGAAATAAAAGTTTTATTTATTTTATTAATTTAAAAAAACAAACATACATCTTGTAAATGCAATCGAGAAAGATATGAACAATGATGGCATATGAACACTTGTAAAGAAAATAACCAGCTCGCTAATAAAATTTTTAAATTATGAGAATATGAAGCCATCTTGAAGCGTTATCAGGGATGGTTGCCTTAAATCGGAAACATGTGGTGCTTTACTAACTTAATTTAAATATGACATCTGAAAATTTCTACATTACAGAAGTCAGAAATTAGGTGATCAATGACTGGGCCAATAGTAAAAACATAAGTTTTAGTCATGCAATTATAAAAGACATTTTGTTTAAATAAATTCATTAACAAGATAAACATTGGAAGGGAGACATGAGAACATTATTTACGATTAGCTAGATGAAGGCTTAACGACATGAAAGAGCCAGTACGATAGCCATCAGGGTCCTGAGACATTATGGACTTAAAAAGTTAATTTATTAGAAGGATGTGTTAATTAATTAACTAGGAAGTAAGCTATTGGAAGAGATATACGGCTTTAAAAGGAATCGGAAAGTTTATTTGAAGTCCAAAGCTAATAAAAAATTAATCAGGACGATGGACATAATTAAATGTTAAATTTTTAACAAATTAACTTATAAGGGATAAAAATTATCTTTAAAATGTTAAAAATATTGAAAATATATTGGGAATGAGACACATAATAACCAAAATAGTTCAAGGCATGATAGGGATACAATATTTTTATGACGTTTCGGGATCACTTTATTATACCATCTTCAGACCACATCTCATCTTTCTATTGTCTAAGTTTTTTTAAAAAAGACTTGTCGTAATTTATATTTCTATAAATCATCTCTTAGTTATATTGTGGGTTCCTTTAGTGAGAGTCTAGTCAAATACTAGAGGAGTCCATAATATAACGAAGCAATGATTTATAAAAATAAAAATTATGACATGTTTTTTTTTAAAAAAATAGATGATACAAAGATGGGATATGGTCTGAAGATAGGATAATAAAGTGATTCCGAAACGTCATATAAATAAAGAAAATTTTGTTTGGGAGAGTAAACTGTTACTTAACATTATTCATATACCTTATATAAATAAACATTTCCCTTAGGACTTAGGAACAAAATAAAAAGATTTATAAAAATTAAAACAATAAGAGTAAAAGAATTGAACAGAAAGCCGGAAACGAAGTTTGAAATGGAACAGAAAAAAAAAATGGGAGAAAAAAAGTAGATTGACAATATAAGGTGCCGCAGGGCTGGCTAAAAAAAGAAGTGTAGGAAAGGATGAAAATTAATGATCAGTTTTCCGGAAAGGCCAAGTCAGGGTTGGAGGGGAGAAAAATATGAGGTTGGAGGGGGAGTTAGTTCCGGGAGGATGAAATGAAACAGTACATCAGAGCGAGGCCTTATCATGAAAGCAGTGTATTCAGAGGTATCACTGCTTCCAACGAACAATCGATGAATACAATTAAAAATACATACAAGACTTAAAAATTATCAATGCTCTATAATAATATAAAAATGGAAAAATGGAATATTCATTCGGAAATTTAACAATATTCGAGTTAAAATGGAATCCCGCTTATCTGTAATAACATGGCAATTATTATTCCGGATAAGTGATGTTTTAATCGCTATACAACATCATTTATCACAATAAGATTTATTAATTCATGCACCAGAAGGAAAAAAAAATGAAACTATACTTTTTCTGGTCAATGATTTAATAATTATAATGGCAGTATTTGTGCCTAGTTATAAATTAAACTTCCGAAAAAATGATATAAATAATCTCAATCTGAATAAAATTCTTTTTTTATTATTGTTTTATTTTGGCCCGTTGTAGTCTTTTAATTATGTTCTATTTTGTTATTCTAAAGGGACTTTGTCCCAGAATAAGGTTATTTTCTATTTCTATTTCTAAATCAGACCAGTATCAGTAAAAATGCAGCCTATTCTGTAGTGAGTCCAAATTTTATTTCTTAATATTTAATCACAGATTTATACTTTAGGAAAAAGATTTATTTACAAAACTACAATATTTTTAATCCAAAATTTTAAGTCTAATTTCCGACGCTCCCTGGTACGCAAACAACAAAACTTTACAAACCGACTTACGACCTACCGACCAACACATACGTACTCTTTGCTACATATTTCATACTAAATTACACGGACACAACAGATTTATAAGACCCGGCCACGGTTGACATTTCCATCAGGAGGCGACTGAAAAGGAGTTGGATGAGAGATCTCATTTTCCGATCTAAAAAAGCAAATAAAGAGCAAGAAGAGATGCTGCTAGGTACTATCCTTTCTGATACCTAAAATGCAATTTTCCAGATAAGTAAAAACAACACATTCTCAAATTAATGACCAGTGTGGATAGATAAAAAAAAGGCTTTATCCAAATAACTCGAAAATTATACTTCTTCAGTTAAATTATAAGTACTCATTTAAAACCTAATAGAATATTTAAAAAAAAAAATTCTACCCTCACCAATAGTAGCAAAGTCCAGCTTATTTTATTTTAAATTGAACTTCCTAGATTTAAGTTCAAAATCACATATTTTCCTAGTTCTATTTCTGAGGAGTTCATTCTACGCAGATTAACTATTTGCCATTTAGTGCAGTATATCCCTAATTTCCACTTTTGCATTCCGCAAATTCCATCACAAAACATCATTTAGTCAATTAAAAACGATGATTTGATTAAAACAGACAATGAAATGAATTCTTAGTTTGAATGTAATGGGTAGAGAGAGAGGACTTTAAAAAAAAAAAAAATTCATCCACATTCTCGTGAAAACTGTAATTAGCTTTTTAAGGTTAGCTTTTCCTACAAATACACATCTCTCACGTTCAAAAGTTTTACATTAATTAATTTTATATAAAAAAAATCTTTCCGGATCATTTGGATTTCGGATAAGCGGTGTTCAACTGAAATCAATCGTAGTATAGTCGCTATAGTAATGATGAGCTTGCATGAAAAAAAAAATCACAAATTTGAACTGCAATGAACTTCAAGCGATAAAGAACGAATGTAATATCAATTGCACTTAGTAAATAATAAAAAATGGTTCACATTTGCAAATAAATAGAAATAACAATCTCTGGAGGAATGGTGAGGACTGGGAGGCGTGGCTTTAATTTGGCGTGACGTATCCTCCTGCCAAATACGATACTATCAAATATATCTTAGACCTAATATTCTTAAACCTAATAAAATACATTTTAAACTAAATATTTCTATTCAGATATGAGAAAAAAAAAATTTCTGGATGGAAGTTTTGTAGCTGGAAACACTATTCTAAGCTAAATGGTATAATATAACGTAAGTATGACTGGAAATGGTATGACGTAACGTAGTTGCGTCCCCACAACTTTTCTTCAATGCTAATTATCTTTTCAAATGTGAATAAAAATTTTTTATTGTTTTTTCATAATAACTAATTAACCGACGATTAACTTAATTTTAACGTTGAAA